AGAGAGAGAGAGAGAGAGAGAGAGAGAGAGAGAATGAGAGACAAAGACAGAGACAGAGAGACAGACAGACAGACAGAGAAACAAAGAAAGAGGTAAGAATGAGGAAAGAACTCTACTACAACTACTACTAATAACAATACGTAAGTAGGTCTGCGTATCAGCTAGATATTTGTCTGTGCCTGCAAATAACACACCAGTCTATCCGCAAGCACTCACCGATAGATCCCTTGGGTCCTCGCAGTCCTTTGTCGCCCTTGGGACCGGGAAGTCCTTGAGGTCCCTTAGGTCCAGTGGGTCCCTGGGGGCCTTGAGGTCCGGGTGCACCGTCGGCTCCTGCAAACATTTGCCGCAAATAATGGTGAGGCAGATAATCAAAGTGACGAAACTTGCATTTTTCCACAGCTTTGTGAATTTTTATCGAATTTTGGTCTTTTGGCTCAACACCTTTCATGCCCATTAAAGAAGTAATTTCTGGGTGAATTTTTCTTTAAAAAAACGTTGATTAAAGGCCCAAAAAAAATTAATTAATTTTCAGTTACTCTCTTAAGCTAAAGAAATAACTAATCTTTGGCCGCCATTTTCTAACTAATTTTACCTCTGAAAACAGGTGACCCCCACTTCCTTCTTTCGTAAATATCTCGACTTGTAATCAAGATAGATGGATATTTTTTTCATCTAAATAAAAACAAGTGAACAAGCTTTAAGATGATACCAATAACTATATATGCCCAAATATTGACGAGAGCCTGATTCCACCACGCTGCCTCACAATGGATTGTTGTATATTTATAGTAATGAAAAGTTAAGGGTGCGCTGGCCGAGCGGTTATTGCGGTCGTTTCCGAAGTGGAAAGTCCGGGTTCGAGCCTCGGACGGATTCTTTTTCGCCTCCTCCTGCCCACCCAGCAGTAATGAGTACCTGACCTCGAGTTGGGGAAATAAAGGCGGCGTGGAAAGGAACTGGGCACTCTACCACAATACGCTGAAGGCCCAAGAAGTTGTCTCACTAACAAGGCAATCCCCAATGTCTGGATCGGATGCGGGAACGACTTTAAATAAAGTGTTGGAAAGAGCTGGAATTGGAGATATCTACACGGCTATAAGAAAGAGAAGATGGGGATATTTAGGACATATTTGTTCTAAGAATGCCGAAGAAAAGATTGTCCTATGAGACATGGTATTGGAGACCAACTAGAAAAAAGAAAACGAGGAAGACCAACTGGAAGCTATAGAGGCGTAAAAAGGGATGAGGCAACCACCCAGGGCCTGGATGTGCCAAGATTGGAGGACGTGGTCAGGGACAGACAGTCGTGGCCCCGACTGGTCTCTCCGGTATAGGGAGTAGTGCTTGGCGGATGAGTTCCCGATTATAGGAAGCTAGGAATCGTAGTAATCGACTTCGAACCCAATTACTTATTTTCTAATGATGTGATTTTTTCCGGTGGTTACCTGGTTGGCTCCGAACGTTTTCAGGATTTAGGATAACCTTGGTTTCGGAACATTACGAAGTATCAATTTTTATATTTTCAAAAATAGATTCTTTTAAATTAAAGAACATTTTAACGATAAATGCGTTGGTTTACGTAAAAAGGAGAAAAAACTTTAACATCCGTAGTATTTATCGTGGGAATCGGTTTCGGAATAGACTCTTAGCCCAGCTCTAATAGGGAGAGAGTAAGTAAGTAAAGGGGAGGGTGGCAAAATAGAAAGAAGGACCGAGAAAGAAAAGGATACAGATAGCGAGAGAGAAAAAAAAAGAGAGAGAGAGAGAGAGAGAGAGAGAGAGAGAGAGAGAGAGAGAGAGAGA